GTGCTGGGGAACAGGAGGACATGGAGGAGGAGGACAGGAGGACGTGGACCTAGGGGGACAGGAGGACATGGAGGAGGAGGACAAGAGGACATGGACACAGGGGGACAGGAGGACATGGAGGAGGAGGACAGGAGGACGTGGACACAGGGGGACAGGAGGATGTGGACACAGGGGGACAGGAGGACATGGACCTAGAGGACAGGAGGACATGGAGTGCTGGGGGACGTGTTCCCCAAGTGGTGGTGACAGTGCTGGTGGCAGTGGTGGTGCTGGCCGAGGTGACAGTGACAACGTCAGCAATGAGGAGAAGAGCGATGGTGAGAGTTGTGGTGGTGGTGACGGTGACAGAGACAGTGGTGGTGACGGCAGTGACAATGGTGGTACCGAGGACAATGAAGTCATGGTGACAACAGCAGTGATGGTGACAGCGATGACAATGACAATGGTAGTGGTAGCATTGATGGTGGTGATGAGGGCAATTATGGTGGTCATGGTGACAATGGAGGTGCCAGTGTTGAGGATGATGGTGGTGATGATGATGGCCAGTGATGCCAACGGTGATGATGTTGGTGGTGGTGACGGTGACAACAGCAATACCAGTAATGGTTGGGGTGACAGTGATGGTGGTGGGAACAGTGATAGTGGTGGTGGGGATGATGGTGCCACTAATGGTGACATCAATGGGTCCGTTAATGGTGACACCGGTGATGGTGGCAGTGAGATAATGATGTCATGACAGTGATGGTACCATGATGGTGAAGTGTTTGTGATGGTGACATGAGGTTGATGGCTCCATGATGGTGACATCAATGGGTCCGTTGATGGTGACACCGGTGATGGTGGCAGTGAGATAATGATGTCATGACAGTGATGGTACCATGATGGTGAAGTGCTGATGATGGTGGCGAGGTTGATGGCTCCATGATGGTGCCACTAATGGTGACATCAATGGTTCCATTGATGGTGACACTGGTGGTGGTGACAGAGATGGTAGCAGTGGTGGTGACAGTGACATGATGGTGTCATGACGGTGATGGTGCCATGATGGTGAAGTGCTGATGATGGTGACATGAGGATGATGGGTCCATGATGGTGCCACTAATGGTGACACCAATGGGTCCATTGATGGTGACACCGGTGATGGTGGCAGTGATGGTAACAGTGGTGGTGACAGTGAGATGATGGTGTCATGACGGTGATGGTACCATGATGATGAAGTGTTCATGATGGTGACATGAGCATGATGGCTCCATGATGGTGACGTCACGGTGACGTGACGGTGACCCTGCCACCTGCAGTTCCTCTGCCTGAAGAACATCCGGACCTTCCTGGCCGCCTGTGCGGACAAGTTCGGSCTCCGCAAGCACCAGCTCTTCGGCGCCTTCGACCTCTTCGACGTGCAGGATTTCGGCAAGGTGGGACCAGCGGCCTGGACCGCGTCCCCCCGCAGGGGACCCAGGTGTCCCCCCMCCACCACGACCCCCCATCTCTCGCCAGGTGATAGACACCCTCTCAACGCTCTCATGGACGCCCATTGCCCAGAGCAAAGGCTTCACGTGAGTGCCGGGGGCCCCGGGCGTGGGGGACCCCGTTTCTCCCCCAAGGGGGACCCCACACGGTGTGGGACCCCATGGAGGGACCCAGGCGTCCTGGCACCCGCAGGCCCTTCCCGGCCGAGGACAGCGTTGGGGACGACGACGTCTACAGCGGCCTCTCCGACGTCATCGAGTGAGTCGGGCTGGGTGGGCATGGGGACAATGGAGGGGGACTGGGGAGTATTAGGGGAGTATTGGGAAGCATTGAGGGGTATTAGAGGGGTAATGGTGGGTGTTAGAGGGGTAATGAAGGGTATTAGAGGTGTATTGGGGTATTAGAGGGGTAATGAGGGGTATTAGAGGGGTAATGAAGGGTATTAGAGGTGTATTGGGGGATTAGAGGGGCATTGAGGGGGATTAGAGGGTGAAGGGTATTAGAGGGGTAATGGGGGTATTAGAGAGGTATTAGGGTGTATTGGGGGGGATTAGAGGGACATTGAGGGGTATTAGAGGGGTAATGATGGGTATTAGAGGAGTAATGGGGGTATTAGAGGGGTATTAGGGTGTATTGGGGGGATTAGAGGGGCATTGAGAAGTATTAGAGGGGTAATGAGGGGTATTAGAGGGGTATTAGGGTGTATTGGGGGTATTAGAGGTGTATTGGGGGATTAGAGGGGTAATGAGGGGTATTAGAGGGGTAATGAGGGGTATTAGAGGTGTATTAGGGTGTATTGGGGGATTAGGGTGTATTGGGGGATTAGAGGGGTAAAGAGGGGTATTAAGAGGGGTAATGAGGGGTATTAGAGGTGTATTAGGGTGTATTGGGGGATTAGAGGGGCTTTAGGGGGTATTAGAGGGGTAATGAGGGGTATTAGAGGTGTAATTAAGGGTACTAGAGGTGTATTAGGGTGTATTGGGGGGATTAGGGAGCACTGAGGGGCATTACACGGGTATTAGGGAGTACTGAGGGGTACTAGAGAGTAACTGGGGGTAATAGAGAGGAACTGGGGTAGAGACGCATGGGGTATATAGGGGTCCATGGGCTATTACGGCTCTGGGGGTACTTTGGGGTACCAGGGGGTACTTGGGGGTATTTTGGGGGTCCCGAGTGGCTACAAGGGGGACTTGGGTGATTTGTGGGTACTAGGGGGTGCTCGGGGGCACAATGGGGCATGTTGGGGTTCTGGGAGGGTGCTTTGGGGGTCCTTCCAGGTACTTGGGTGGCACTTTGGGGTACTTGGGTGGCCCCTGGGGGTACTTGGGGCAATTTGGGGTTGCGAGGGGGCACCTTGGGGGTCCTTGGGGGGGATTTGGGGGTCCTTTGGGGTCCCGCCCCGCGGCGCGGCAGTGGGGCAGCCCCGGGCCTGGCGCAGTGACACGGCGGAGGAGGACGACGACCTCTACGACTGCGTGGAGGCCGAAGGCGCCGACGGTGACGACATCTACGAGGACATCATGCGCACGGAGGCGCCCGGGCCGGCGGTGAGCGCCCGGACGCCTGGGCCCCTCCCGGCCGTCGGGACCCCCCCGCTTGATGAACCTGCCCCATCCTCCCCCACAGCACAAGGCGCCCGGGGTGGACAAGCAGCTCTGCTGCCTCCAGGAGATCTGGCAGACGGAGGAGAAGTACACGGAGACGCTGGAGTCCATCTGCCAGGTGGGACGAGGACGAGGATTGAAGGGGTGTGGGGACAGGTAGAGGGGCATGGAGACAAGCATGGGGACGTGGGGATGTGGGGACAGGGATGGGGACGTGGAGGTGGGTTGGGGATGGGACAGGGATGGGGATGATGACCTGGTGACTGGTCCATGGGGATGGGGTCATGGAGACATTGGGACAGGGATATGGGGACAGGGATGGGGTCATGGAGACATTGGGATGGGAATATGGGGACAGGGATGGGGACATGGAGGTGGGTTGGCCATGGGACAGGGATGGGGATGGTGGCCTGAGGTAGCACATGGGGATGGGGTCATGGAGATATTGGGACARGGATATGGGGACAGGGATGGGGACTTGGAGGTGGGTTGGTGATGGGACAGGACCCAGGGATGGGGACACAGGGACGAGGTTGGGGACACTGGAATGGGATTAGGAACATGGGGACGAACCCCACCAGGAGCAGCTCAGGTGGGGAGGTCCCAACCTGCCACCCCGCTAGTGACTTCAGAGCCTTCCAGTGCCCAACCAGTGTCCCTASTGTCCCCYCCCAGTGCTCCCAGTGTCCCTAGTGTCCCCTCCCAGTGCTCCCAGTATCCCCAGTGACCCGGTTTCCCCCCCTCCTCAGCACTTCCTCCGGCCTCTCCGGCGCTTCCTGCAGCCCCAGGACCTGGAGAGCATCTTCATCAACATCGAGGTGCCCCCCAGTGCTCCCAGTA